CCCAGATTCATCGCCAGCAGTGACCCCTAAAACTCGACCGGCTTCTACACCCGATGGGTCCGGTCATGTGACAAACGGGTCTCCGGTTGTCCCTTCAAGCCGAATTAGCGTTCCAGATACCCACCTATCTTCACAAATTAAAACACCGGAAGTCAAAGTGGTCCAAAGTGGGATAAAACCACCTTCTGTCAGTGTGCCAAGTTCCGGAATACGTGCCACCGGCATTCCTGCCCATGTTTCTCCAGCAACTTCAAACGGGACCGGGGCGAAAATGAGCCCCGTGTCAGGCCCACCCACAGTAGCACCAACTACAGGTATTCGACTGCCGTCTCGAGTACCGAAACCGAGCACAAATCGAGCTGTAAGTTCTTGTTCGCTTCTATTCGCGTCCTTTTCCAAGATTTTCATTTATTGTCAAACTTAACTTTGAGCACGGATATGTGATACATCGCCATATTACTTTCAAGCTTTAGTGATGAGAGTATTATCTTTCTTAGCTGCGTTCCGATAATTTCTGCATTTGTTGAATTCCCATTTGTGAGCGTGAAAATAAGGTATTTGAACGCGTCGCGCAACAATAGGATGCACTGGCTCTTCAGATACACAACACTGAGGTCTGACGTGTAAGTTCGCGTAGTTTCCATCATGTTATACTGTTGTTCTTTTTCAGAACGCTACTTACAAGTAACTGTAGTATAGAAACTCAGGAGTAGATCACGTGCGTTGTTAACAAATCTACCCTTTAAATTGGGTTTTTCTCAATGGGCAGTTGAAGTGATGAAGACACACAACCGATTGAAAAATCATACAATGAACATGAAAACAGAATATTGAAGCTGTTATGTTTGAGCTGAAATTTGATTGACCTTTTTGGAACATTCGGCCTCCACACCACAGATTTTGAATTTTTTCGGTAGATTCGCATCTCTGGCAGTTAAGATAACGGTACAGGAGTGCTGTACAAAATTTTAGTATATCTCAGCAGGATATTTACTGTAGTATACTTCAAGATAAATGTTTTCTATTGCAAGTACACGATTTTAGTAGGTCGAAGAATCTTTTTGCTGTGGTCGAAATCCGGTGCTGTTTAGATACATTTGTTGTGCATCACAAAGCGGTGCATAAGAAACGGCAAAGTTCCAC